CACCTTAATTTTGTGAATGATTTCTTCTTTCCTGCTGAAAAGCTGCAGTACCCAAGGTAAATAATATATTGCTTTTCCAATATTCTACTCTGGTGCTTGGCTTCAAAGTTAGCGATGAGCAATTCTATTAATGAGAGGCAAACGGATCCAAATCTCTGCTGAGTTCATGCTGCTATTGTGGAAGGGAAGGAGGGAAATGTTCCTCTCCAGCCTTGATGAGAATTTGAAGCAGGAAAGAAACCTCAGGGTGTTAAGAAGACCGTGAGATGTTTACATTCATTTTCTGAATTAAGAAATGAATCTGAATGTAGGAGTCCAATAAGGGAAGCAACAGAGATATTATTTTGGGTTGTATAGACTATAAATCATTAAGTCAAGCAAAATGGATATTGCTCTTTTGGGCCATATTATTTTCAGGGAGGAAAGTCATTGTAATAACCATCTAGATATCTACTGAAAAACTAATTCACTGTGCATTCCTTAGCAGTTTTGCTGATTCTAATTTTCCGTAAGGTTGCCAGGGTCCTCCTGATTGGACCCTAACCAATAGGGAAGATGTGGATGAAGACATTAAAGCACTGGGAGAAACCGACCGTGCCATTTTGCAGTTCAAGGTGCTACCAAAAGACAATCTGGGGTGCAGGCGTATTTGATTACAGAGTGTCCAGATTCAACAAATTTAGAAATGTACCTGGGAGGTGGGGATAAGTTAAAGCTAAAGAGGGTTAGGAATTTTTCAGTAGGATACTAGACATACAAATGCATTCCTAAATGGCAGAGCAAGGAGTCATTGTTTCCTCATATTGCAGCCAGTTTTGGATGCCGCACTGTAGGAAGTCCCGAAGGTGCTTTTTCAAGAGGCAACTGGACTTTTTCTTTGAAGACGTTTCGCTTCTCATCCAAGAAGCTTCTTCAGCTCTGATGGAAGGTGGGGAATGGAAGGATTTATGCTCCTTGCAGACGGCTGGTCATTTGCCTCCTTTTGGCCTCAACAACTCACTAAAAAGATGCAAGTGACCAGCTGTCTGCAAGGAATGTAAATCCTTCCATTCCCCAACATCCTCCAGCCAGAGCTGAAGAAGCTTCTTGGATGAGAAGCGAAAAGTCTTCAAAGAAAAACCGGAAAGCCCAGTTGTCTCTTGAAAAAACACCTTTGGGACAACCATGACCTGGATGACTGAGAATCTCCATAGACATCCCCAACAAATGCCACCCAGGTGAAGGGCATGGAAATAAACATGTGTCAGAGTATGGCTGGACGGTTTCAGTATGTTTAGTCTGGAGAAAAGTGTCGACTGTGTGTGGATTGTCTTCCAAATATTCTGAAGGGGTGTCCTGAAGAAGAGGGAACAGAGGTGTTGAGTTGCTCCAGAGCATAGGACAAGGAAGAATGGGCTTAAATTGCAAGGAACCAGGTTTCAATTGGACCTCAAGAAGAGTTTCCTAATGGTAAAAATGGTTCAACAAAAAGATTTCCTTGGAAACTGGGACTCTGTTGGATATGTTCAATCAAAGCCTGGGTGGCATTTGTTGGGGATGGTGTAGCAATGGATTCCAGCACTGAGTGGAAGGTTGGACTAGATGAACCCCAAGATCCTTTCCAGCCCTTACATTCTATGATTCCATGTAGTAGCAAACACTACCACAGGTAGTAGCCCTTACTTAACAAGCATTTGTTTAGCGGCAAAGGTATGAGATGGTATTGAAAAAAAGTGGCTTATGGCTGATCTTCCCACTTATGACTATTGTAGCATCCCTGTGGGGACCTTATCACCCTTTGCAACGTCCCAGCTGGCTTATAAAAAGCAAAGTTAATGGGGAAACCAAGGTCCCAAGTCACAGTCACACCCTGCCTCACGTAACACGGGTGATTTGATTAACGGATGCGGCGAAAAGGCCATGAAATTGGGTGCAGTCACGTGATCTCGCACGATGACCACACCACTTAAGAATGAATTTTCCAGTCCTTTTGGTGGTCATAAGTGATTATGGTGATTAGGTTTCTACTACAATAAGGAATCATGGAGACAGTAAGAGCTGCACTAGAATATTAAAAATGGAAGAAAATTATTATGTTTCCGTATCAGTGTCATGTTGTTTAGCATCAAGAAAAAAAATGGGGAAAGCTTTTAAAAAAAAATTCGCCTAAGGCTAACAAAGTATCTCGAGTTGGGCTTGTTTTGAAATGGGAACAACAAATCACTTTCAGTCTCAAGGGATATGCAAACATTGAAATGCAAAGCAGTGTTTCTGCTTGTGAAGTTCAAGTTTGCCGTATAGTCTACAAGTCAAAGTATGTATTGCCATAAACATTCAAAAATGTGTGCCAAAATCAATCAACGCCTTTTTCTTGCATATATGACAAGCAGGCCCAGTGCAGGAGTCTTATTTCTAGATGCAGTAAAGTTACCTATTGTTATGAAACAGTCTTCAAGTATTTCATGGCATCAAAAATTGTAGACAACTTGACAAACTATGTAGGTGAATCACACACACACACACACACACACACACACAATGTAGAATTAGAATGTTCCTTTTGAGTACCAGCTATGAGTGGTGCTCATTTCTGATTACCATCATTATGATGCTCATCATTAAAAATAATAACATTTTTAAAATTAACATTTGATTTATTCTACAAGCAGGAATAAAGTAACTCTTTATTCTCTGAAGTGATAACAGTGAAACACAACAGGGTTCACTCATCCAGAGCCTGTAATGTTTTAGTCACGGAGGACTTTAGCTGCTTCCATCTGTAAATTATTAGCCTTCGAAAACAGGTGAGAACAGGTGGAGGCTGGTTGCTGTTGCTGTTAATCTCTCTTTTGAATCAGACTGTACAAACAGGAAACACTCAGGCGTGCATCATTTGACCTATTTTTAGACTTCAATTCTAGATGCCATTTCAAATTCTTTTAACAATCAGAAAATGAATCTGTTTTGAGAGAATACCTACGAGCCACACTTCTGTCTCATTTAAGTAGCAACTTGCTCTGAATTATAGCAATGGTGAGATGTAGTGATGGAACCACAGGTTGAGAGAATGTGCAAATAATTGGCAACATTTGCAGCCTTACAAAATTCCATCTTATATTATTCATTATTGATAGTCTTTAGAGTATTAATTCATGCTCTACTATTATGCGATTTACAATATTAGATGATACAAGTGGTGAGAATAAAAAACATTTTCTCACTTTTTCAAACACAAGAATTACTTCATATTATTTGGCACTGAGGCCATTTGTGGGCTGAATATATAGCTGGTGCAGGAAATCTAAATCACATGGACTATTAATCTGTCAAGATCATTGTATAAAGAATCAAGATTGAAATATGTATCAAAACAGAAGTACTTGAAGGATGGAGAGGAAGTAGTCTTGTCTTTGAACATTAATGCTAGAGCTCTGTGCATTTCTTTTAATGTAATTTTTTTATCTGAATATTTTTTGGGATCCTACATGTACTAAATGAACAAGTCAGTAAATGCCACACACAAAAAAGCAGAATCAGAATGTTCCTTTGAGTATTGGCTATGAGTGAAATTAATTCTCCATATCAGCTTCCTCAGATGGTAAAGATGACCTAATTTCTATTTTATTATTTGCTAGCATTTTGGTGTTATTTTTCTACGTGATGAGATGGTTGGATTAATTAACTTCCAATTTATTCAAATTCTGCAGTTAATTGGGGCAATTCATTTAAAAGTGATTGCTGCAATCTTTATAAATGCAGCACATGCTTATATATGCTGGAAATAGCTCTGTGGTATGTATATCCTGGGCCTAAGATCGTACTATTTGAAGCAGTTATCTTCACAAATTAAGATATTTGTTGGACTTTACAGTTAAGGAGGAAAGACAAAGGATTGTATAGAACCAAATCAAGATGGAAACTTTGAAAAAAATTAGTTTGATCTAGTATCACAGAGATGCATTAGTCACAGACCTTCCACCTGGGTCCTCACCATGTTTCCCAAAAGTCAACCCCAAATCTAGATCTTACAATTTCCCAATTCAGAGTTGGAAGAATGCAAGGGAGCCATTGGGAGATGAAAAATGGATTCTACCAGCAGCATTAATTTTGTTAGTGATAACTTTTAATTGTCTATGGATATCTCAATCATATGGATCATGGTTGTCCCAAAAGTGCTTTTTCCAAAAGGATGAATCGAAGGAGCTTCTTGGATGAGAAGTGAAATGTGAAAAAATCAAGAAAGTCCAGTTGCGGTTTGGAAAAGGCACTTTTGGATAACCTTTTATTACATTAACTGCTGTTCCGAAAGAGCTATAAATGGCTTTTTTAAAAAACTGTAGGTGTTACCTGACTCCAAGTTGATTCTGGGTGGCTCACAATAAACATACAGAACAAAACAAAAACTAAATTTATTTTTAGCTGGCATCTCTTAATATAAGTGCTTAGCAAACAACATTCCAAGGACCAAATGGTTGGAGATTATTTTTCCTTTCAATATTTGTTATACAATAGTTTATTTTTGACAATAATAATTATTGTAGCAGTAGTAGTTTTTCACACAGCTATTGTGGGTTTTCTTGTTCTGAAGTAAAATTTTATCCATGTTGTTGCCTGGATGATCCCTGCAGTTTTCTTGGCCAGTTTTCCAGAAGTGGTTTTCCGTCGCATCCTTCCTGGGGCTGGGAAAGCAGCTGGCCCTGGTCATCCAGCTGGCTTTGTGCTTCAGGAAAGTTTAGAAGACAAGTTTCTTTGCTCCCATGTCACATTTATATTGTATTTGCATAAAACGTTTCATATTTAGGTCATTCCCAAGCAGTGGGATTTATTTCCTCAGAAGTTATGTTCCATGCTTTTTATATTTCAAAAAGCTGTATGAGACATCCCTTCTTTTATTTAATTAATGCCAGTAGCATTTTTAATTTCATTCTTTAACTGTTTATAGTTCGTTTGAACTCTTTCTGGCATTTGCATTTTTGCTATCTAGATGGGTCACATGTTTGAGTAAAAGAATGGAAAATAATTCAATTACATACATATTTAATGTACCCTTAAATCAATAAAAGGCTTAACATCGGTATTCTGCTATTTTGCTGGAGTATAGCATCTCTCGCCATTAGATGGAAGAAAATCCATTTGAGAGAATGACCTATAAACTCCCATTGAGAAAAGGAGACAGGAATAGAACTAGGATTCCCAAACTTATATTAATCGATTTCTCTTTATAAAGAGCAGAAATGTACCGCATTTCTCATGGGCCAATAGAGCTGAAGTAAATCCCTCCCCAAGCCAATCAGAAGGCCTGATCCGAATCCTCCAGCCTTCAACCTTGCACAGCTAAATTATTCATGTGCAGCGATAGAAGTCTGAGAAAATGTTGCATTTTCTTCTCATTTTACCTTTGTTCCCTTCTTCTCATAGCTATTTGTAGACCAAGAACCTAGTGCAGAAGTCTCTGCTTTCAGTGCTGTTATTAAGACAAGAAGGACCTGTAGTTTCTCCGAATGTGGCCAAATTCTGCTGTGCTGTATGTAAAATTAGGCAAACTTTAACTGCCCTGTTAACCCACCACCAATTGCAATATATTGCTGTCTTTCGTTTTTATCTTTTACTATTATTGTTTTAATGCTTTTTTATTTGCTGGTGTGTGACCGTAATAAAATCGATGATACTTTTTACAATGCCATCCCTTGCCACATGGGCCACGTTCTGTGAATGGAGGCCCATCGGGAATAAAAAGCACCAAAATAGCCTTGCCTCTCTTTTTATTCAGGCTTGCAAGCACTGGGCAGGCGGAAGAGGAAAGCTTTGGGGCTGCCATTGGCCTATAACGCCCATCAGATTTATTCTAATGACCCCTCACAGGCGTTTCTCTTTCATTGCGTTCACTGTCTAATATTGTGTTTTGGGGGCAAAGGCAGAATGGATACGGGGTGCCTCAGAGGTAATGGTTGCTTAGTCCACTGCTTTTTTGTCTTAAATACATTTCAGAGACTAAAATACAGCATAGCCAAAGTCTTTGTAAACAGTAACCATCAAATTGGTGTCACACATGTTAAAACAGAGAACAAGAATTGACTTTGAAATTTTGCTAATTTTCAAGAATTTTATTGAATGTAAATAACAGAGGCAAAATGAGTCACGGCCATCATTTTATGGGATAATATGGAATATATAAGATCATATTTGCTATAGTGTTTTAAATATAATAAACCTGTCTTTACGTCTTATAAAAAGTTAACTGTATGCGGCTGACCTCCATAAACACGGTTTTTTTTATTTGTTTATAAGGTCTACACTTGATACTTGGCAAAACAAGGTATATAAATAATTTGCTTTAAAAATTCAAGACTAACCAAAGACTAAAAACACACTGGCACCTCCACAATTCTGTTAAAAAAATTCTGCTATCTTTAAAGACTAGATGCATTTGTATACCAGCTCTAAAGTGACACTATGACACCTACTTCCATCAATATTCAGAGCACACTTGTATTTAATATATCCATGCTGTCACAATACTGAGTGACAATGTTTCCTAACAATATGTTCAAGAATCTCCTACTGTTATAGATATACTAAATCATAAGCCCCCCCTGGCTTGATAAACGCTTACTGGTCAGTTGCAACGATCAACTTTAGGGCAATAATTTTGATACAATCTATTTGGTGAAGTAGCTCTTCATCATCTGGCAGGATCAAAAAAATATTGGGAATGATTTTGAGACCTTACATCTAACCACGGCTAGTTCCAGCCATAGTTCATTGTTTTAATCATGATGAAGATTCCAAAGATATAACAAAACCGTAGCTGTCCTAAGCACACCCAAGTCGAAAGTAGAGACGTAACTGAATGAAATCCACCTGTCACATTATAAGCAAGAGTGGGAGGAGGGGAAGAATTGTTCATTTATTGGTTTGTTCATGGTTTATTTGGGATTAAATTATTACCTGCTTATAGTAAATTTTGAACTAAGCTTGGAAATCTATTTCCAATTATGCTATCCTCAATTTGACGTCAATCATTAGCCATGATCTAGGTCGGACGTTCAGCCTACACGTAGTTTCCACACCCACATGCAATGGCAATGACAATGTGTGCAGCATGACGTCACAACACAAAGTCTGCACTTTTGCAATTGTACTGCAACATTGGATGCATGTTTCACCACTTGCCTCCTTCCCCAGAAAATGTCTATGGCTTCCATTGAAACAACACTCCACAAATGTGTTTTAGGGCAGTTATCGGAGAATTTATCAAAGTTACCAGCAATCATAATGCCTGCAATTATAATCAATTAAATGTAAGTGCAAATGAAATTAAATCAGTTATAGAGTTTGCCACAGCATCACAATTTTGGGGGACTGTGGTCCCTGACATGTCATTCTGAAAAAAATCATGTACTCTACTTCTTTAGGTAATCAGATGTAACACTTCACCATGGCGAAAGGAAACAATTTAAGGCTTACCATTATGCGCAGAGAGGAACAAGACAGGTAAGCATTTGGCCTTGTGTGCCTAGGTTTTTTTCAGTAAAAAAGGGGGGAATAGAAACAAGTTGTTTGTATCAAAATAGTACAAGTGTCATTCCCAGACAAAAGGCAGAAATTATTGGTAGAAAATTTAAAAAAAAACATGTATTCAGATATTTCTTGGATATAACCTAATCTACAGCTAGCATGTCAGAAAGTTTTTCATTAAAAATCTGTACAATTGCAGGCATATTAATGAAAATTTAGGGGAATTCTGGGAATGCATTTACTATGTGTAATGAAATCTATACATTAGGAAAGGGTGTATTTATTGTTTTGACTTAGAAAAGAAAAAATGGGAAATTTTATCCTGAGTTACAAGGCAAATCATTTTCATATTTCTTTGTCGTAAACTCCTATTCAAGTCCTTTAATTTGGCAGTGTAAAATAATTTGTTTTCCAAATATTTTCAGTAAAAAGAGGTGCTCGGGGAGTGCAGACAAGGCAGATTCTTTTTGTGATGATAAGCTATTTAAAAGGAATGTAAAATGGACCTGCATAATTCATCTATCCTAATGGAAACCATAGAGATGCTCTTTTAAGATCCACTGATACTGATAGGAAATTTAGGCTTTTAATAGCATCTGAGCATGGCCAGTGTATAATTCAAGTTATATGCAGGTATTTTCAGCCAAGAATTATTATGACAGAGATGTAATATTGGAGCGTCCGCCTGGGGGTGCGATAATTTTCTGCGCAGTACGTCTGGCGATATGGTCATCTGCTTGAGATCCTAGAAGAGATACAAAATAGACTGTCTACATTTAAGTAAATGAAAACACGCATTTGATCATACAGTACGCTCCTATACTTGCAATTACATGGAGATAATTAAAAGCAAGTTGAGCCAGCAATTTTACGTACTCTCTCTCTCTCTCTCTGTATGAATATGTATACATGTATGTATATGTGTGTTGTGTATATAATTACATATCATAGTTATCATATAGTCGATATGGTGTGGGTGGGTGTATACATACACACACACCCATATCTACTATATAGCTATATATGTAATTCCTCCAAAGTAAACAGTGTTTAACCAGATGTGATTTGTTTTTGATTAGACTTCATGGAATTATTCTACCAAACATATTTATGCTGAGAAAGGAAACTGTATAAATTAAGGCTGAAAATTGCCAAATTCAAGTGAAAAGAGGTTTTGGAAACCAGGTCTTCATATTCACATGTACAAGAATGCTTTTTTTAAAAAAGCCTTCAACTTCCAGTCTTTTAATCAAATATGAGGAACTACTAAAAGGGGGGAATTTTGTATACATTAGTTTCTATAGAAGAGATTTATGATTGTGCTTAACTTCCATAATTGAAATTAATAAAAAATTAAAAATGCTTAGCTAGCTGGAATAGACCCAAGGGATTCTCGAATGAGTTGTATGTAAGTATTTAGTATCAAAAAAATCAAAGTTCTGGAGTCTGACACGTGACTGGCGTGTAAAGTAGCTATAGCCTATTGGTAGGAATATCATCATCATCTTTATCACCACCACATTCTGTGCCATCAAGTTGGTTTTGACTCTTAATGGATTTTCACACAGATTTTCTCCCTGATGATTTGTCCATAATATCCGTCAAATCTTCTCAAAGAGCATTGATTGCTACGTTACTTGGTCAACCTTCCTTGATGCAGTTCCATTTCCTTCTCTTTCCTTCCACCTTTCCCAGAATTAGTCTTCTTCAAGAGAATTACTGCATGCCTTTTACTTAACATATCAAATGTAGGATAATACAATCCTAGCCATTTGTGCCTCAAATGGAAACTCTGGGCTAATCTGTTCAATGAAACGTTTGTTTTCTTGGCTGTCCATGGTCTTCTTGTGAGTCTTCTCCAGCACTGACGTTCAAAGGCTTCGTTCTATCTAGGTTCTTCAAAATCCAACTGGCTTGCCCTATTTGTAGGTATAGACACATCATTTGAATAACTTACCAAGACTTCCATGGGTGCTCTACTAAGTGTTAAGCTGCAGTATTTTTATCGACTGCTTGTTGCTTTGCAGTAATGTTGATAGTTGTTATTAAAAGGCAGGAGCTAACTTTTTCTTTTCTTTTATTGACCCTATAATCCATTGCATCAGGGTGGAGTTGGGGCAGCTGAATGGAGCTGAGCATTTACTGGCTGGATGCCCTTCCTGATGCCTACACAGAGCTCATAGCAGATATTTTTCTTTTGTGCCTAAAGAAAGAAACACCTGCCACTATCTAGGATCAAACTCAAAGCCTCCTGATTGTGAGACAAGAGCTCCACCGCTGGGCCACCACGCTACTCAAAAGGCAGAAGCTATCTACCGCTTTGATAATTTTATTTCAATTTATTGTACCTGTTGTGATTAGTTTGATCCTCTTTTTATATAATTTCACTCCCATTTTTTTCCACTGTGGTTCTCAACACTTATTACAGATGCTTTGGCATTTTGCCCGACATCAGCACAGAGCAGGTACTTGATGCTTCCTCCTCCAATTTTAAAACCACGCTCATCTTCCAACCCAGCTTCCCTTAATACACATTCAGCATATATATTATCTCCACGTATAAAGGGCTAAAAAGTTCCCAAGAGCTTTATAATGACTGAAATACAAGTCATCCACTGCTTACCAATTGATGATCTCAAAGATGATAGTAAGCTGTCATAATTCTGTTATCACCTCAATTTTTTCTTTCTTTACAACTTGACTTACCAGACAGACTGAAGCCTGACTGATGAAGGTTGCGGATTGGTGGAACCTGTAATTTGCCTGAGCAAGTAGCTAACCTTGAGGTAGGAGCCGGAGTAACAGCTTTAGCGGTTACTATGACATCATGAATAGGCCCATCATAAAGCCCACGAGGTACACCATGGATTTCAGCCAACTGTAAACATGCAATAGAAGGGAGAACCGTTATAATTCCATGGACAACTTTATGGGCAAACAATTTAGGATTAAAAATCAAGCTTCATTTAATTTTCATGGCTACAACACAGAAGGGATCGGCCATTGTCTTCTGGTGTGTTATGGAACACAAACATGCTCACATACTAAGCATGTTGTGCAAATGCACGGGCCATATTCTGCAGGTTTAAATTTCTACTTAATACAAACTTAAAAACTGTATATATATAATGGTGAGAATGGCAATGGCAATCATGGAAAGAAAATCCTAAATTCAAATCTTTAACTATACGAAGTTCAAATCTTTGCTTAACTGTGACTTTCGCTGATCTTTAGCCGGCTGTCACCTAGGTTCTCTTAGCTTGTAGCATATACTAAACCACACTGTAGTTGCTTCATCTTGGCTTCATGTGTTGCATAGCACCTGTACTACTACTGTAGTATGCCTTAGGCTCCTGTATGAACCGGGTCACAATTTATTTGCCCAGGCTACCTCACAATGTAGGTATAACTTCTTTTTCTCAGAAAATCTGGACCTACGTGAAGGAAAGCCAATGATTTAAAACCTTAATCGAAGACCCTGTTTCTGATTTTCCCAGTCTTTTGTCCTGGACTTTTGATGGCGCAGACATAGTAACCCTTAACCAACAATGCCATGGATTTCGTATAGAGAAAAATCCTCACCCTATTCCGGGCTTTTATTCTTTTGTAAACAAAATCAGGGAATGTCTTCCGAGGAATGAAACGACCAACACCTGGGGTGACACAGAGGTTCCCATCCTCCAATACAACCTTCCCTTGACTTACAACCACTGTGGGGACACCGCGACATTCGGCTCCTTCAAATATGTTGTATTCCACATTCTGGCAAAACAAGTATTACAGGCTCAGGTTAATATTCAAACAAAACCACAGGACTCAATGCACCAATGTCCACGCACATCATTCAAACAAAGGTAGGAAAACTATACACTCGGGGATGGAAAGGTACATATAATCTTTATATTCTCCAAGTAATATTGAGAATATATGCCATTTTAAGGTGTATGTATGGCACACACATTAGTCAGTCTTTTATATTAGGCTTAGGCATGATGCTGGACCAATATGAGAGAGCCTTAGGAGCCTATAAGATATACGATGCAGCACAATTCAAGTATCATTCATAGAACTCAAGAATATAAATTGCTCAGCCTATGAATTTCCCAACAAAGTGTTTGTAGAAGCTCTTTTATCTAGCTTTCAAAAAAAATGATGAAACTTGACAGAACAAAGAAAATGACTTAAAGGCCCAATTCGAGAGAGACAGAATTTATAACCAACGATAGATGTAAAACCTCAACATCAAATATTATCTCCCTTGACAAGGCAGGGTTCGCAATCACAGAAAGAGGTACCCAGATATGTATGTATGTATGTATGTATGTATGTATGTATGTATGTATGTATGTATG